AAAGTGGGAGTTGACAATGCTATGGCTGTACTGGCTTGTAACCTAGATGCACAAAGTTATTGAACTTTGCCTGACATTAGGGAGCCTTTTTTTGCAGCAAAGGGCTTGGTGTATGGCTCAAGAAAAGCAATTTGACATAAATCATGCTTTATATAAATGGAAGTGCTACCTTTATGCCCAAAATGGATTAATTCATTGTGCCCAGCTTTGATGATCAGAATAACACCAATGTCCAATGAGTTTGCATTCAATTTTTGAGTGTTGAAGGGTTTAGAGACATGTAATTAAGTACAAAGCTAGTTTGGTCATATTTTGCAACTTGTATGAACATGTATTGGCCATGGTTACAAAGTAAGTTTTTGCCAACTTCAAGCATTCGATTCTCCCTAACCACAAATGTGTTTGAGGAGTTCTTGGACAATTTGGAAAGCTTGAAACAAGTAATATAATCCATCTTTGAAATTCAACTTGAGACTCCAAGCGTAACTATGTGAAAAATGGCCAAGAAGATAGGGCAAAATCCTGCCTAAATTAGGGCAAAATTTCTCTAAGTTAAAAGTTTTAGGGACCCTTGTTCCAAAAATCATAACTTGAGATCCAAGCTTCTTTTGAGAAAACTTTGTAAATCAAAGTTGTAGACTTTGTGAAGGACTACAACTTTCATGTTGTAAGTTTTGTTTGAATCCATTTGCATCATGGTGAAAATATGGTGAAAAATTAGGAGAAATTAAGAAAATTTCATAACTTAGAAAATTTCTAAGTTATGAAAATTTTCAATTTCAAACCCTAATTTGCAATTTTGGGTTTCTTGATGAAAAAGTTTCATAATTTGACACATCTTGATGAAAAATGACCCTTGGCACTTGATTTTGACCAAAAAGTCAAAGTTTGACTTTTTAGTGTACATTCAAATTTTGATCAGTTGACTGAAAAATTCATCTGTCAATCCAATGCATTTGAGATCTTTTGAACTTGTTGAATAGGTCAAGATAATTTCATTGATTCCTTGAGTCCATGGTTGAGCTTAATTTGCCATTGGCTAGGTCAAACAGTCAAAAATTGCCTTTGTACAGTCAAAACCCTAAAAATGACCATTTTGCCCTTTTGGTGATCTGATCAAATTTCTTGTGGAATTGTGGTCCAAACTTGATCAAATGGTTCATATGAGTTCATAATGTTGATGTGGGTCAAAATTCATGAGGTTTGACTGTTGATTGGTCACAGTTGACTTTTTCCCCAATACAGCTGATTTCTAGGTCAACTGTCCAATTGATTGGGCAAAAATTTTATTCAAGGCTTGAAACTTGGTATGGACAAACTTATGAGTCCAACATGAAGTATGAAAATCAATTTGGGCATTGAAGGTCCAAAAATCCTTGTGCAAACTCAAACCCTAGTTTAGGTCAACAGTGCAAGGAGGTGTCTTGAGCAGAGCAAACCCTAGCTTGATCTTGAGTTCCAAGAGCCTTGTGATGAGAAAAGTTGATAAAATGAGAGGGCAAATTTTGGGGTACAACATCAACCATTTCAGAAATTGTAAACATAAAACTTGTTAGAAATTTTACCACGATTTCAAATATGTAAATAACTTAAGCTATGGATTAAAGATGAACACGAATTTTTCTTAGTACCAAATCTGACCTAACTTTTTCAGGAAGTTCAAACTCAAAATTCACACTACTCAAGCAATATAAATGAAATCTAAGGGCATGGTTAGCTTCAGGGCTATGATGTCTATATTTTATCTTCACAAATCAGAGATAAATGTTGTTTGTATAAAGATTTGAAAGTTCAAAAAACTCACCTTGCAAATTGAGATCGTGTTTTGAGTTTGAGCACTTTTCAAGGTGTTGTGATGATCTGGTTAGCTTCAATAGACCTCTAGGAAGCTAATACAAAGGTTACTCTGAGCTGAGAGTGCCTGAATCGTGTTGAAGAAGTCAATGTGCAACACCCTGTTTTTGATTATGGAGGATGGTGATGGAGGTGTTACAGTCATGTAACAGGTGTTTGGTTAGATTCTAAATGATATATGGATGCTTTGTGTTTGATTTTGCGGAAGAACGCATAAGTGGAATGTGAGTTTGAAATTCAAAGTCAGTAGTGGCATAAAAATGGAGTTTGAGAGCAATTTTGAGTTTGAGGGAGATTGAGGGGGTTTCAAGGCTTGTAATTTCATGTCTTTGACTTGCAAAGATGGCCTCTATTTTTAGGAAAGAGGTTTGGAGGTTTGAAATGATCAGAAAACAAAAATTACATGTTATGGATTTTTAACTTGTTTTTGAAGCAAGCTTGAAGAACATGGTTTTAAGGTGAAGTACCATGCCCTCTAGGGTGGCTAAATACTTTAAACATGTTTCTTATGATTGTTTATGTTGAGTGTGATCAGAACAAATAAGTTAGAGGCTCAAGAAATTGACTTTGTGATTAAAGTGAACTTTTCCAAAATGGAAGTGTGACCTTTCTTCCTTAAATGGCAAGTCAACTTGGACAAAGCTTGGATCACTTGGACAATTGATTAATCAGTTGTGTAAACATTAAATTAAGGAGTGATTTGCAAGTTAGAAGCCTGCAAAGCAAGATTTATGCAACATGGTTGGAGATTTGGTCAAGTGTTCATCATGAAAATGACTTGTAATTCAAGAATAGATGCCCAACTTCTTGCCATCAATTCTCTTAGCTCAAAAATGACCTCCTCAAGTTCTTTGACATTTTGGAAAGCTTGAAAAACTATATACAACCTTCATGTTGACCATTTTGGCTAAATCATTTTGGATCTAGGTAAAAATTGTCCAAGAAGTTAGGTCAAAAATCTGCCTAAACTTGTCAAAATTTCCACTAAGTGTTTTACGAACGATGTCATGACGTCATGAGCTTATATCTTCAAATATAAGCATTTTTTTGGACATCAATCCTCTAATACAAAGTTGTAGAATTCATCAAGATATACAACTTTCATGTTGAAAGTTTTCTTTGAATCATCTTGCGTCTTGGTGAAAAAATATCATGAAGTAGTGAAATTATCAAGTTCAAAACACTTAGAAAAATTTCTAAGTATTGAAAAGTTTGACTTTTTGATGACTTTTTGACTTTCTTGATTCTTTATGATCAAACTTTATATTTTTGAATGTCTTGATGAATCTTGATCTTTGAAACTTAATGTTGACCAAAAAGTCAAAGTTTGACTTTTGGTGTATCAGTTGACTTTTTCATCAGTTGATCAAATTTCAAGTATCAACTGTTTGATCTTGAGAAATAAATTGAGTCATGAAATTAGGTCAAAATTATGTGTTTGAGTCCTTAAGATTATGCTTCAAGTCATTAGATCATGTATTAGGTCAGAAGTCAAAAATCAACCATTCTCAGTCAAAATCTTAATTTTGACCATTCTACCCCTTTGATGATTTAAACGTTTTTCTTGAGGAATTGTAATCCAAACTTGATCAATTGATAAATATGACTTTAAAATGTTGATACTGGCCAAAAATCTTGAAGTTTGACTATGGATTGACCATATTTGACTTTTTACCCAACACAACTGATTTTCAGTCATCTGATCAATTGATTGAGCAAAATTGTGATCCAAGACTTGAAACTTGGCATGAGTATTCTTGGAGGTCTATAATGAACCATGAAAGTCATTTGAGGCATTAGAAGTCCAATTGTCCTTGTGAAAATCGAAACCCTAATTTGGGATCCCAGTGCCTAAGAGGTGATTTGACCTACTCAACACTTGTGCAAACTTGAGCTATTGAAAATTTTTTGTGAGGAATGTCTTGAGAAAAGAGAGGGCAAATTTTAGGGTACAATAATATGAAAATATAATTTTATTTTTATTTTGTAACATGATTTTTTTTCAAAAGTTTTATTAGTTTCAAATATTATTATTTCATATAATTAATTTTCTAACATTTTAAATATATTATATAATTATATTGTATGATCGATAGTAAACTTTCTTCTATTTAATTAAATTAACATCAAAGAGATTTATCGTATAATTGGTAAAACTACGATCTTAATAATTTTAAAATGTTACATGTGTGGTTCTTAAAATTTGACAAAGTTTTATTTTTATAATTTTAATATTATTTAGTTATTATAAATAATTAACATAATTATGAATGTTAATAAAATCGAATTTTAAAACATAGCACCAAAACTTAAGAAAATAAAAATAGGAATCAAAATTATAATTAATCTAGAACAATAAACATAAAAAAAATCAATCCGTTGGATCAAGAAACTCACTGTTCAGTGGTCTGACCAGTGAATCGCTCCAATCACACTAATTTTTATTGGATCAATTACAACAATGATTCGATAACTTTACCGAACTGCTCTATCCTCTAATTCACGGTTTAACCGGTCCGACTGAACGGAACGGTCTGGAGTTTAGAAGTGTGTTTATAATATCTTTAAAATACGTTGAATAGAAATATGACATTTAAAAGAGAGCAGTATTAGTACAATAAATAAATATTAGGAGCATTTGTGCTATAACATAAAGATGAGAGAATACCATGTATATTATCATCCCATATAATAGAATACTCCAACCATTACCAATGTAGAGTTGAGTTAACTTATTTGGTAGAGAATTTAATGCTTATAAGTGGAAGCCATTAATGAAGATGACAGAAGCTTACTAGACTGAAAGGCCCCACCCGTGGTGAAGTTAAGGCAAATGGCCAAATAAGTTAAAAGGGATAACCATGTTTAGGTATCGGAAAGAAAAGCAACCATGAGTTCATTTTTAGAGATCAGCATTCAAAACTCAACAGAGAGCGTGTTTGAATTGAAAGGAAAATAATAAGGACAGTTGAAAATATTTATTACCCATACAACTAACGACAGCTGAGTCCCATTTACTAGTCGTTCAAACGTGGCAGGTGAGAAATTAAATGGAACTTCACTTGGTTATGGTTTCAGTATATAACAAGCTCACTCATATTCATACTTAAATATTACTACATATTCATTCAATAAGTTGAGTTACCATGAGAGTTTCTTGCAATGACTTTGTTGTGGTTGCGTTTGTTCTTTGTAGTGTTCTACTTGTTAGTGGCTTGTTTGAGACGGCGGATGGTAGACAAGTTAAGGATGATAAGCATTTGATTCGTCCACCACATTTGTTAGGTCCTGGATTTAAACATGGTAGGTTTGACGGTGGGGGTATTGGTGCTGGTGGAGGTTTAGGACTAGGTGGTGGCATTGGTGGGGGTGCAGGAGGAGGTGGAGGACTTGGAGCTGGTGGGGGAGCAGGAGGTGGTCTAGGAGGCGGAGGTGGTCTTGGGCATGGTGTTGGAGGCGGCATTGGTGGAGGAGGTGGAGCGGGACTTGGTGGTGGTGGTGGCATTGGCGGAGGAGCAGGTGGTGGTGGGGGTCTAGGAGGTGGAGGGGGACTTGGTGGTGGTGGTGGTGATGGACTTGGACATGGTCTTGGTGGTGGCGTTGGCGGAGGAGCAGGTGGTGGTGGGGGTCTAGGAGGTGGAGGGGGGCTTGGTGGAGGTGCTGGTGGTGGACTTGGTCATGGTGTCGGAGGCGGTATTGGTGGAGGTTCAAGCGGTGGCCTCGGTGGAGGAGGCGGACTTGGTGGGGGTGGTGGAGGTGGCATTGGTGGTGGGGCAGGAGGCGGGGTTGGTGGTGGAGCAGGAGGTGGTGGTGGGGGTGGAGCTGGTGTAGGCGGAGGAGGAGGTTTTGGCGGTGGTGGTGGTGGTGCAGGTGGAGGTGTAGGAGGAGGAATTGGTGGGGGTGGAGGCGGTGGTTTTGGTGGAGGAGGCGGCATTGGAGTAGGTATTGGAGTTGGTGCCGGTGGTGGAGCTGGTGGTGGCAACAAGTAGGATGTGTGAATGTTAAATGTTAAACTGAGTCATTCATATATTATAGTGTTTTACTTAATCTGTTCAAAACTGTTAATGCCTATTAGTAATTTGTAATCAAACTAGCTACAATGGCTTTTATCCACTCTTTTGTTTGATTGTAATTCAAATACTATTTTTCTCTACTGTTTAATTAGGAGTACTATTTGCATTGCATGGGAAACAAAACTTGATAAACCTATAATGTTATCTCTCTTAATTCTAATTTTATGATGAATATTAACTTTTGAAGTTATGTGTATTTAACAGTACGCTACAACTCTATTTTCTGTTTTTCTTTCAAAATGGCTCACTTTTATTTGAGATGATAAAACTTGAGTAGATATATAAACACCAAGATGTGGTTCGATTGCTGTTTGTGTGATTTGTTGATTGCTTTTAATACTAGCTTGTTAAATGAATCTTGAGAAATCTAGTTTGTTTAATCTACTAATGCAAGTACTAAAGCATCAATGATCGGCAAATCTGACATGGTTCTATAATTGAGCACTCTCAGTTATGAAGTGTTAGAACACGTTTACATCAATGATTGCTAGAATATTGATTGTTCACACTATTGCAGAAAAAAATAGGAACTAATATTATAAATAAATTTCCAACTCGTTTACTCGATAAAACACCCATTTTGAAATTTTACACCAATTTGACCCTAGATCAAGCAAGTAAATCTCAAAAAATAAACTTAAAACTTATGTAACTTTTTACTTAAAATCTAGAGAAATTATATTTCAGAGATGTCATATTCTTATTTTTTTCTTTACACAACTTTAGATTTGGACAAATATTATTTTCAATCATCCTTACATATTTCTTATTCTCTCCATCTACTTTTTCATTGACAACAAATATTAAATTCATTTATTTTCATATATTTCAAATTCTCTTGTTTACAATTTTTTTTTATAATTTTCTTAAAAATGAGTAAAAGATTGATGATGCCCACTCAAATGAAGTTTGTGATAATGGAGTGATTATAGTGTTATATTCTAATTTTTGTCCTTAAGATTCCTCATCATTTCATATTATCAATACATCAAGATCACACATTAGAGTTGGTTCTTCCTCTCTACTCTATCATATCTTTAAGTTTGTTCTTGAGGGGTCACCAAACACCTTGAATTGTGTATCTTGAACATGTGTTCTTTTAGCTAACATCAAATATGTATATATGTCTCTTTGAATGTTCATATTGTAGGTGATGATACAATTGCATTCATCTCACCATCTAACCTAGGGTTTGAAGGGTGGTTCTCAATCAAATGGTTCTCTAATGGATTGCAAAACCTCAAGCTTCAAGGCTATGTCTATGAAATCAAAGATTTGTGGTTCAAAAAGTTCTCTCATTTTATTTAGGTCAAGCTTTCCTCAAAGTTTGTGGTGGCATTCATCAAGAAGATTCATAGATTCATGTGTTTATTTTCATGTCTTCTTCAACAAGTTTCATTGAGACTTTAGTTCCATCTTTGAGTGTGCTTCAAGATAACATTATTTTAAGGCCTATTATGACTCATCATGCTTTATTTTGCCAAGAAATTTCAAAAGATTCAAGGTTGGTCCAACAAGTTTGACCTAATTGAGCAAGTGCTTGATTCAGTGATCACAAGTGCATAACTCTCTCAATTTTCAATTTTTCAGTTGGTTCTTTTTGCTATGGGTTCTTATCATCATCTACAACAACCTCTCTTCACATGACAAGATCCAATTGTGCAAGAAAAATTAGCAAAAGTTGAAAGAAGTTTCAAGTCATTTTGACACTCTCTGAGCTAGGAGTTTGTGACCTCATCTTCCAAATGCAAAAAAGAATGAATCCAAAAAGGTCTCTGAGTAGTGAGCAATGCATTGTTGAAGTTGGCTCCATGGAATCTGTTTTTACCTCGAGTCAGAATTTTTACCATGAGTAAACTTACATTACAGCTAGCTTGACTTGCACAATTTGCTCAAAATTCCTCTCATTTTTCAACATCATTCACTTCCCTATAAATAAAGGATTCTATTTCATACATTTTCTCAAGCTTGAAGAGTCAAAAAAGCCCTGCCAAATTCACTTGCAAAGCTACATTTCTGCAACTTCAAATTTCTATTTAGAGCACTTCCAACTCCAATTTCTTTATTGATTCTTCTTCCTTGAACATCATTGAAGCTAACAGAAGAAGAATTAAGTCTTGAGGTGTTCTAAATCGTGCAAGCCAAGTCAAGTTTCAGAGCAATTTCTTCATACTCCGTTCAGGTAGTTTAAAGCATCAATTCTTCTAACTCAAATTACTAGAATGGTCTATGATGTTCATTAATGCTTGCTGATGGTTTAATTTTGATTAATTGATGCATTTGATGAATATGTTTGCGAATTTAAATTCTTCAAAAACTCTCTGGTTTTTTCCAAATTAAGTGAGCTACACTTTAAATAAATTTTTTGCGAGCATATGGTTGTGATCGTCTCAAGTAGACGCATCTAATGGTACCATTATGAATGCATTCATTTACATATTTAAAGATATGTGTTTTGCCCTAGTTGCAGGATGCTGGAGGTTGAAGACGACCTACGTGTCGTTCTTCAACCAATGATACACGGCCAAACATTTTAATTTGATTGGTTGAATTTTTTGTGTTTTCTGCGCGCGTTTCAGTGATGATTACTATACGTCCTAGCTTCAGCACCCTTGGATTTCCCAGCATGTATAAGTGAGTTGAATCCAACGGGTGATATTATTTTGATATTATTTTTATTTTCTGATTTTTGATTTAATTGTTTTAAACTTCAAAAATTTATGAAAAAATTAATTCAACTTCTAAAATTCTGAAAAAATTAGCAAAAATACTTTTGATTTTCTCTTTCTGATTTTTATTTTTTTTCAAAATTTTATTTTGAGATTTGGTATTTTTTTATGATTTTTCACTTTATTTGACTTGTTTTAATGGTTTAAAATATTTTTTTGAATTTTAAATTCTGAAAAAAATATGGAAGGATTCAATGACCTCTTGACAAATATTGGTGACCTCATTTTATTTTTATTTTTCATTTTACTATTTCTCACAAATTTTGGTTTATTTTGCTTATTTCTTTAAATTTTAAAAATAGTTCCCGACTTTAAAAAATTCTGAAAAATTTTGTCAACATTTATTGACTCATGGTTGACTTCTGATATTTTTTAGGATTTTTATTTGGTGTTTTAATACATTTTGTGTATTTTACCAATTATTTCCCTTTTATTAATCATTTAAATATTGTTTTATTAAATATATTTTATCATTTTTTGCTTGGTCCTGATTTTAGTATTATTTTGGGACAAGTTCCTCAACCTCATTGGATCTTGGGTGTTGATAGATTGAAAAATCAAATCCACCAAAATGGATGAATGATGTTGATGATATTTGAAACCCTAGTTTCATCTCATGCACCCCATCCCCTCTTCATCTTATCCCTTTCTTGTTTTTACTTGTGCTGCATGTTTTGGTGAATAATCTACATATCATTTCTCTCATATTTAGTACATAGATTTACTATTGACCGACCTCTAAATAGGTGTGACTTCTACATAAGTCCACTTACGATTGCTTAACATAGCGTTAAATTTGTCCCGATTGAAAAATGATCATTCGTGGCCCAAACCTATATTTGCAAGCCCAAGTATGTTTAGTTTGAAACCTTTGATCCAATAACTTTGAAGTTCATTGTTAGGAGGCTTGGGTTCCATCAATCCTCTAATGAACTTCATAAATTTTGGTCTAAGTGAGTCACTTGAACATCGTTGATCATATGTGGTTACTTTGAGTATTAGAAAAGAATGATATACTTGACATAAAACAAATGAGACTTGTTGTTGAGAAGCTTTGATTTTATCAATCTTCTAATGAGTTTTCAAATGCAAGCTTCAAGATGATCATTCAACTAACCAGTAACTTCTAATTCACTAACATTTGACTTGACTTTATGCCTTTATCTTATGCCTTTACTTTCATGTACCATTTATTTTAGCATTTACATTCCATATCATTTTTCTTTTGCTCACTTGAGCATTTATCTTTATGTCATTTTATCTTTGCTCATTTGAGCTTTTATTTTCTTTTAAAAACACTTAATAATCAACTTGAACAATAAAAAACTTTAAGGTTATTTGGACTACTTGGTTACTATCCTTAGCATTACAGAATTGTGGATCTCTCGGACTTAGGATTAGAAGCCTTGATACTTGGGACCATGTGGCTCCGTTGTTATTTTGTCTGAAGTTTTTGGGGTTTACTCCAAGACATTGGGTTGTTTTTCTTTGTGTGCATTTTATTCTGATTATATGCTTTGTCTGTGATTGAGAATTCCTCTGTATATAGCCATTACTCTGCCTAATTTTTGTGAAGACTTAATTCATCTGAAGCTTGGTATTTCTCAGAGGTTTAGTATTTTTTTGTTAGAACAAAGTTTGGTTCTAATCATATCTTAGAGTTTTGATGATAACAATGAAATAAAATTTTGTGAAATATATTTTATACTCTGACTTATGTGTTTTCTAAGTTCAGATGATGTTCTGACTCATGCATCTTAGAAAGAAACAACATTCTACGCAAGTCTAAAGCAAACTCAGAAGGAAGCACTCCAAAGCAAACTCTGATGAAGAGCAATACTAAGCAACCTCTGATAAAGCTAGCTAAAGCAAAGATCTGAAAGAAGCACGCTGAAAGGAACATCTGATAATACAAGATTAAAGCAAAATCTGATGAACACATAAATTGAAGAATACTCTGATAGAAGAAAAGATAAAGTATACTCTGAAATGGAAATGCTGCAAGCAAACACTTAAACTTCCAGAGACAAGCTCTGACAGTACCATTGGTTATTAAATTCTAAGTTGGCTAACACACTCAAGTGTACTATGCACGAGCATTGGAAACATAAGACCAAGCCAACACGCTTCATTAATGAAAGCACTCTCTTCAAGGCAGTAACGATCAAGACTGAAAGCTATATATAG